GCCAAATTCAGGCCATCTCGAAAAATCGTGTCTCGTGTGCACCAGAAGGAAATGCTGGAAAGTTTTGTTATAAGTTCGAAGGCCCATTTTTAATTGAGCGAATAAGGAAAACGGTGATATTTTTGAAAGGCTAAAATGTTCAGTGGGCGAAAGCAAATGTAGACCAGATCAAGTGCTATTATGAACGAAAGGATGAGGAGACTGACAAATGCTCGCCAACAGTACGAACTAGTTTTTCTAGCTCATAAAGAGAGTTTTATAGGTCTTGAGCTTATGAAAATTGAAATATCTGTTCAAAAATTTAAATGCAATAAGATTTTAAAAAACATATACTGTATCGATTCGACTCTAAAACTCTATCAATCCTAAAGCCCCTTAATTTCAATACTCCAAAAGGGGCGGACATTGTTTAGGAAAATCAAATACAGCGCTAAACTCCAACTAATAAAGTTGTTTACTGCAAAGGTAACTTGATGTTGTTAACAAAAGTAGTACCTGTTTATTATTACGCGTGTTATCATGCACATTATTTCGTTCTAAATTAACACTAAATCTGATTCTTCTTTGTCGTCTTATCATGCATCTTAACCAAAGTCTATTTCATATTCAGTGTCCGATTCTTCTGAGCCGACTTTAATATATTGTTATGTGCATAAGGGGTTCGTAATGGATTGAATGCAGACAGAACCGACAAAAGCTTGATGAAATTTATTTGAAAAAATAGAGCACTTCACAACTCTGGAACTTATAACACAAAAGCATTTCTAGAGTTCTTCTCAGTATGACAGAGCACAATCATTAGTTATCACTTCAAAATACTAAGAATGTGAATGTTGAACAGACACAAGACAATGTACTGCATATCAAAAAGCGTTAAGCTCGCACATTGATCTCTCAGTACTCTCAAAACTCTGAGCTAAATTCTGAACTCAACTCTAAACTTATTCTAAACTGATGCTCTCTCTTATACAGTTTTTCCCTGTCCGCCAAGAAATTCCAGTATCTTTGATTTCTCGAAATTTCTGAAGAGCATACGCAGTTACAGATACATAGGGTCACATACAGTTACAGTTGCATAGGAATCGGGCCAGTTACAATTGCGTAGGTATAGGACAACAATGTCGCCAAATGGTAGCCTCATTTGGTGACTTTTGACGATTTATTTCAAAATTTGGAGACAAAAATTAGTCGCCAAAACCATCTCCAGCTTGACGCTATCTCGCCAATAGCCATTTACTTCAATTTTAAATGGATTTATCCCTGTAACCCTGTTTTTCCGGCGAGTTCGACTTTTGAGGCCTTTCATGCTACATTATACAAAAGATACTACAGTTTACATATAATTTCACCAGAATTATTTACATGTATACAAAATTCGTAACAATATCATCTTCTGTGACGACAGGATCATTGGCAATGCAACGTTCTCTAAAAGAGTAAACTGAGGGGGGGGGGGGAATAATGGATGGCCTGCGCAAAAGGTGGACAAATGCGCGGAAGGGGAACTGAGATTCTGACATATTACCGAATCTAAGACTCACCCTATTTTATAGACGTTTATATAGTAATAAGTTTGTTCTCTTAAACTCGAAAAAATATAATAAATTTATTTTAAGCAACTGCAGAAAACGTAGTGAAGTACGATTTCTTTTAATAGAACTGTTTGATGTACACCAAGATGCAAAATAATCAAATCAATTATACTCGCTCTCTTACATAAAAAAAAGGCGAATATGTGTACCGTGGACGCAGTCAGCCGATTAGGGTCAAATGAATTCTGATCCCTCCTTTCCTGGAAGCATGGTCGAATACTGTGAAAGCGCGGACGAATTCTTGCTTATGTATGAGAAAACGTGAGTATTCATTGCTTAGAACTGATAGTGCTGCGATTTATTATTATATTAGCAAAAGCGTTCCCCCCCCCTCAGAAGTTTTTATTTAGCTTAAAGTATTGTACGTATGTATTATATGTACGTTCCTATTTAATAATGTTTAATAATACTTTTACCTGAAAAACTGAGTACAGTGAAGTTTTAGCTTATTTCCTGAGCTGATTTATTTTGTTAACTTTACTGCTGATTGTCGTGCAAAGTTTGAGTTATGTTGTAAACTTATATGAATTATGTTAATTTTATTAACAGTTAAATTTTTATTTAAACTCCTTTCCTGTCCAGTTCTTAACTTCAACTTACTACTTCCGGCCAGAACGTAGTTTTAGAATCACGTCTAAATACATAATGAGGAGGAGCGGTATTTAACCACGAAGTTCTACTTCCAGAGTTAGAGAGAATCAGAGTTTCTGATTAGCGTGCGTCTGCCTTTTTGGCTACTCTCTCTCTCAAAGCTGTTATTACGATCGGCCGCACTCAGGCCCTTGATAGCTTCGCAGTCAATTAGCTTTAAAGGGCTAACTCGGTTAGAATCTTGATAGCTTCAGCTACATCTCTTTAGTTTAGATTAGTTTTTAGTTTACTTCTTAGCCTCTTAAGTTCAAGTCCAATTGTCGACTTTTATTGTGAGTTCAATAAAGGGTTCCTCACTTTGTAAAGGATAAGTTGCTGTTGAACGTGAAGAATCTTAAGAACTGTTAAGCGAATAATCACTTGAGTTCGTGTGACAAGAAACAACAAGATGGAAGGGTAAATAACCCTTTATTATTCAAATAAGATTTAACAGAACTCTCTCTTGAAGTGTACAGTAAAAGCCGACACTTGGGCTTGAAGTTAAGAGGCTAAGAAGTAAACTAAAACTTATTTAAAGAGAAATAGCTGAAGCTATCAAGATTCTAATCGAGTTGGCCCCTTAAAGCGAATTGACTGCGAAGCTATCAAGGGCCTGAGTACGGCCGATCGTAATAACAGCTTTGAGAGAGAGTATCCAAAAGGCAGACGCGCGCTAATCAGAAACTCTGATTCTCTCTAACTCAGCAAGTAGAACTTCGCGGTTAAATACCGCTCTTGCTCATTATGCATTCAGACGTGATTCTAAAACTACGTTCTGGCCGGAAGCAGTAAGTTGAAGTTAAGAATTGGACAGGAAAGGAGTTTAACTCAAAATTTAACTGTTAATAAAATTAACATAATCCTTACAAACTAAAGCAATAAAATAATTGATCCACCTTTGTTTAATCTCTATTTAATATTATTTATTTATTATTTAATTTCGTTTAATGATCCTTTAATCTTATCGCCAAATCTAAAAATGTATATACAACTTTAAAGTTGGATTTCTGAACTTTTTAATTCTCCTATTCTTATTCCCATGCAGTTCATACCGTAGGGAGATTTACGCGTTCGCTTATTCGATTCGTAGGAGAATCGGGGGCTTATTAGTGTTTCATAATCGATCAGCTTAATGCTTATTTAAAATGCTTTGTAATTCTCGAATTCCAGGTATTTTTATATGAAAGTATTATCGATCCAAAATGTTCATTGCAATTAATAGAAACATAAACATGTTTTATTCATAGCAATCTATTTCATAACTTTCGCCGCAGTCTTACAGAATAGGTACTATATTAAAACTCTGGCTCATTAAAATAATGATTCTATACTAAAAGACAGAAGATATTAAGAGAAAATACGTTTCACAGTAATCATAACAATTTATGCAAACATCTAATCAAATTTTTCCCCCAAAATATTATAAGATTCTGAGCGCACTCTTTCTCATCATATAAATACATTTTCTTTAATGTCATATTTTACTTGAGTTATCAGTCCTAAAACCGACTGGTATTAGAAACATACGATTTTGCAAAATGCATATAAAATTTGATTCAACTATAAGCGTTCTTTTTCTATTCCATGCTTGTTATACTAAACATTTAACTGGCTGGGCCCAACGTCCCCTCTCGCGGAACTGTAGTTTAATACATTATTTACAACATTAGAGTGCATATTATAAGTATTATTATTATCAAATGAATATATTCTCTGTTGCCTGAACGTTTTTCAGTCTTAATTAGCATCAAAAGAAGTGGTTTGACTCATCTTTAAATCCAGCAATGAGAAATTGCAATAGATATGCCCAGTGAGTGCTGTTTTGTCTATCTTTAAACGAATAAATGCTAATAACTCTTCAAATATATAATTGGTTTATCTTTGCATATTATAAAATAGACAAATAAATTTAATTTATAGTATTTTGATGAAAATTAATTTTTTTTCTTCTTAACATTTTATTTCTGAATAAGCTACGTAAAAATCTTCATTAGTTTACCTTAGAGTAAATATATTTTTCCGACATTTTTATGAAAAATATTCATCTTCTTTTCCCTCACCACAAATATTTTTGGAGCAGTATAGGTGAATGAAAATAATTTCCGGACGATAACATCATGTATTTTTAATACGCAGTGCTTATAACGATCAAATTAATATCTACGTATAATATTATGCTAATACATAAAAACCTTTACTTGCACATACTTTGGATATACCAAAAATAGTTTATAAAGCCTGGAATTCAGAATAAAACCTTGTCCATTACATATAAAAAGCGGCAAATAAATCTTACAGTTCTTTTTAAATTAACAAACAATTTCTAATACCTATGTATTTCATCTATATTCATATATATGTGTGTTCCTACTGTAATAATCCGAAATAAATCAGTATGGTAAACGTAATATAATAGCATTTCATTTTGAATTTCCATTGACTTGATTACAGATTAACCATAATCCACTGGCTGTACCGTCATTAACAAAGGAATTTAAAATTTAACTCAAAATTTTATTTTCTGTTTCTTAATAACACGTAAATCTATGTCATTATTTGGACCAAACAATTTGACTTTCTGTTTTATTTATCTCTCAGAGTCTAAAAAATAAGTTCAGTTTCAATTATTTTTGTTCATGCTATGACTTATATCACGGGCTAATTATTATGGTTGTTATTAATGTAATACTTCAGTTTAAATAATGCTACTTTTTAAAACTAATTTTAAAATATTATTTAATCAATTGTTCATAAATTTATAAAAGAGTCATTACTCACCAGGTCATCTGCTAAAATGAATATTATGTGAGGCATTTCTCTTTTCGGAACTACAGCGGAAGACGTGAAGAGCGCTAATAAGGTGAAAACTATCGCAACAAGAGCAATCGAAAAGAACATAGCGGCAAGACGAGACCATAGAGGGTAAGATGTTCTCTCATCATCTTTTTCAGCTTTTTCCACCATGAAGACCTGAGACGAGGCAGAAGGAGAAAATATGCAGCTCTTTTTATCTATATTTCGTTATATTTAGGCAAGTATCCGCTCTCTTTCCAATGAATGCTCACCTTGGATAACTTTTTAACAAGGACAGACATTACCCCATTAACTGCTTAATTAAGTAGCACATAGCAAAAATAATGCAAGAGTGTTCACTATAAAAACATTTCATCATCTTCAAGCAATATCATATAATCCAACTACTGATTTTTCAAAAGTGGAAATTTTCCAAAAAATTTAAAAACTGGTAAGCTTAAGTCATCATATCACTTTTTAATTAAACCAGTGCATCGAGACATTCTTTTCCATCGTTCATTTCCATTCATCTACTAAATATTTTCTTCATAAACGTGAAGTCATAAAACAATTTCCATTCACATCAGCATAAAGATAGTCACACTGTATACGTGCAAACGTTTTGAAGGATAATGAACGAGAAAAATAGGGAATGAGACCTAAGGAGCATAAGACATATTCAAAAAAAGAATGCACACTATATTAATGCATTCTCGACAAAGGCTGCAAAATTTTCTTTGACTTGGAGTCATTCTGCTACAATCCGAATGATTTACAAACCTCGTGTCCTGTGTAGGAAGAATAAAACAATGCAAGATATCATTTTGCCTGATAGCTCACGCATTGTCCGAAATAAAATCTCTACACACATAAAGAAAACGTTCTTGTGTTGTAATTTCAGATATGACAGCACTACCATTCTTACAGAATTTTTAGCCCCTTGATAATAAAATACTCAGCTCATCATTTTGATTTTAATATAAATACTTTTTTAAACAAGTATTCTTAAAATTAAGCCTCATATGAAAATGTAGCACACAGAAAATTAAAAGCAGTTACAATTTTAGCAGGATATTGTTTAATATCTCGTTGTAAAATCTACGTTGTAAAATTTATGTTTTCTAATTCTTTATTTCTTCTACTCGAAACATGTAAAGTATTAGCAGTTTCAAAAGGCATGAACAGATGCTTCAAAATGTATTGAATAAACCACAGCGTTTCGAACAAATTTTAACAAACTGCACGTTTCAAATAAATTTATACTGAATACGTCAAGCAAACTTCATATACGCAATTAAATATACTAGTGTGATGTAAAAGTGTGATGTTTGTTGTTTGATTTCTAAATTAATGATGTAAATCTATTTACTTGCATGTTATCAGTCATAGCTGATAAGCTCCTAAGCAGTAATAGACCTCCCCCATGCGTGCTATCTTGGTATAAGCCCGTGGCACGTATAGCTAGCAAATCGGAAGGTCTGTGGCTTGAATTCAAGCGAGGACATGCTTGAATTTTCCTATTTCCTCATACAAGATGTGCGAAATATCTTCACAATCACGCTCGAAATAAAAGTATTGTCGACAAAAGTTCGTGACCACTTGGATTTGTTGGATAAGGTCTCGTGCCTCTCTCTAGTTGCCATTTAAGGGAACGAGAACGTAAAGACTTATCGCATTACCTGATGCATGGTACGATAGTATTAGAATGTCTAGCTACTCGAAGGAGATTAGGGGACGCGTGGTTCGAATCGATGCGAGTGAGGTCACAGCTGATTTTTCATCTTTTCTGGTTTCGAAAAACTTAACAGACTACAAATTTTGTACAGCAGAATATTAGTCCTCTCTACATATACTACCCATTCACAGATTGTGACAGCAATATGTATCAAACGTCAGCAGTAGATCACTCCCCATTTTTCAATTTTAATCAATGCCAGAAATTATCAGCCCAAGCAAATAAGTATGAGATAAAGTACTTAGTTTAAGGTAGTTGTATGCACAGCTCTCCGAAAATAAATAATATTTGTGGTTCATTTCTAAGATTTTCATTATTTTGAAAGAAATTAGAGAAGTCCTTCTTTGGCAGTATTTCGCATGTTTCTTTTGAATGTTATCAGAAAAAAAGGAAAACTGGTACTTTGAATTGGTTTCTCAAGGGAAATTTAAATTCCTTCCAAACATGTAATTATTAAATTGTTTCTTTACAAATACATCCATAAAATAATGCGTTTTAATCTTGCAAATTCCCTCTTAATAATTACATGATTAAAACTAGGTATCATGTAAATTAAATACCTTTATTTCTTAATATTAGCTTCATCATTGAAAACGAGCAGGATATCTCTTGGACACCAAATATCAATATCTCCTAATACCTACACGAATATACTATGATGTCAATATTAGGCTTCGAACTCGAGTGGAACTTGACCTCACCCTGGTCACAAGCAGGCCATGTTTTGCGCTCCAAAGACGTTGACCACGCTCTCGTATTACCTGAATGAGTGCCTGTGAAGCGATAGCACCTTCTAAATCTTACTGGGTGATTATAAAAATCTATTTCGTCTTTAATTATATAAATGAGAGAAGGGGTTTTTAGTTTAGCCCTTTTCCAATACTCAGAAGTAAGTAACACAATCGACCGCATTGGAATCGATCTATGGGAAAGTCTTAGCATTAACTTCTTATTTCAAAGTTCTACGTTACTTTGAGTCGAAGATAGAGAAATGTAAATGAACATATTAAATTGACATACTTCATTTTATTGTGAATACATACAGTACATCTATTAAGGTGTTCCACAAAAAATGAATGAAAAATAGAGAAAAATTTCAAATCTTAACAAATATTATTTATTTCATGTCCATTACTTAAACTATGTGTTTTCTGGGATAGTTTTGCTTCATTCAATTACAGGAACACATAGACTAAACGAATGACTATAATATGTGAAAACAATATAAAGCAGAAAACAGAAGTTTATAGTCACTTGGTCGACAAAACAAAAGAGGGGGAACACATGCAGCCAAGAGTTTTCCATGCATATTCAGTGAGATTTAGGTCCTATAAGTAGGAGGTACAGTCCATATGTGTTATATAATCATATTTCATGAACTACTGAAATAAGTTAGTGTCGTGAGAACATGCATTATCATCCGTTAAATGGAACCCAGAACGAAATACATTTCTTAAAATCCTCATCTACTGATGCAGAAGAGTTATTCCCCAATAACCTTCAGCTACTACTATACGGCGATAGTGCATATGAAGTGGTATAAGTAATACGAAGCGACGTCATCCTATAAGTAATACGAAACGACGTCATCCTAAACAAGGACTCCACGATAACGATCATTTTCGATAATGTGGGGAGGATAATAATGTGCCATTGGCAGGAAAGTACACGAGTTGAAACGGTTTGACTTATTTGAAGCATGTGAGGCTATGTGCCTATGAGGATGTATGCCTTTCTGGAGGACTTTCTAAGGAATACTGGACTTTATCTACATTACAGATACAGGTGAACTAACTTTCACCGAAGCATGCACCTAGGCTTGTTAACTTTATCTTGGGAAGACTTGTAAGGATCTTAAGTTTTACTAACGTTTATTTTATGTTAAATCTTTACTATCACTTCTTATTTTCTACTTCTGGCCAGAATTAAAAGCTTTTAACTTATTTATGCAAATTTGTCTTCCGAACGCCGAGTACTTAAGTTGTGGCTTTTTGCTAAGCAAGAGAGAGGAAGGAGCTATTAGAAGCAGGCCGCTTGCCATAGTAGTTTTACTCGCTTGCTGGTTGCCTTCAAGGCCAGAGGTTTAATCCTCTTGATAATTTTAAACGTATCGTAGTGTTAGCATTTCTCTGTACTACATACGGCTTTTTGTTAATATACGGCCAATCTTGGAGTTAGGCACTTGTTTATTAATCCAAAGTTAGTTTAGTTAGATTTTTAGTTAATATTTTTTATATTCTTACGTTCAGACTACAAGTGGTTGTTCTCTGTATTCCGAAGTTCCGGAAATCATTGTAAAGAGAGAAAAATAAAGGGTTTCGTATACCCTTCCTGTGTGTATTGTCTACTTCCCAAATGTATTGAACATAGCTTTTGTAAGCTCCCTGTTCCGAGTCAGGACAGTTAATGTTCCCAAAGCAAGTAAGGAGGAACACAGAACCTGATAGTGGCGCCCAACGAAGAAGAATAACCATGGTCGAGTTTCAAGAAGAACCTGTGCTGCCTGCAGATGCGGCTCAGAATCCAGAAATGGCAGCTGCCGCCCTGGAAGGATTTGGTTACATCGTCCAGACCATGCGCGCATCGATGAAACCAGAAGCAACATTTAATAGAAACTCACCGGTAACCAGTTTTTTGGGAAAATTGGATGACCACTTCATGCTGTATCCAGTACATGAGTTCCAGAAAGTCACCTTAGCTACCAGCGCTTTGAGGGGCCAAGCGCTTAATTGGTTCAAATGTATAGGCAGAAGCCTCTTGGGTCAAGCGGGAAGTCCCACCTATACTTACGAAAATTTCAAGACTGCCTTAGTAAAAGCCTTCCCTGTCGTAAGAGATCGTGCAGGATTAGAAACGGAACTCTTCAGCATATACCAGAAACGAATTGAAAATCTCTCAAGCTTTATTTTAAGAAAAATTCACGTCTTTAAACTCTTGTATGGAAGCCGTCCGGATCCTGAGATAATTCCAAGTAATTTTGCCGAGGTTACTTCCCCAAGTACAAGACTTTCATTGAATTAAGGAAATCTAACGACTAAACTGGAAAAGTTATTTGAGCTAGCAATCCAGTTTGAAAGTAGAAGAACGGCGGACATTGAAAGAAGACGCCAGTATGAGCAACGAAGCCAATTTGGTGCGCCAAGACCACAGCAAAGTCAAGAACACGGCTACGGAAGCAAAGCGAATCAGTGGGCAAGGAAACCCGAGTATCCAAAACAACCGGCGAACGTCGACAGTTCAATAGTAAGCCAGAAAAAAAGTCTGAAGGCCAGCGGAAAATGAAGGAAGGCATGGAAAGGAAGAAACACGATTTAAACTAAAACGGATTTCTGCTGACGGGAGGGTGCGGAAATCCGAAGGCCAAGAAAACCCCTCTTCCTTCAAGTTAAATTCAGTGATGGTGAAAAATTTGACTCTTCCAAAGATTGAAGTGTTGGTGAATAACATCCCAGCCACCGCACTCCTGGATACAGGCGTGCAGTGTTCCTGTGTGGCAGAAGATTTTTTTAGGAAGTATTTAAGTAAATACCGCATATATAATTCGGATAATACGACAGTGTTAGCTGCGCAAGGAGAAAGATGCAAGTGCATAGGTAAATTACCGTTATACATTCGTATCAAGGACGAGCAAGTAAAGATTATGTTTTTTATCGTAAAGAATTTGCAAGCACATGTCATTTTAGGGATAGATTTTCTTTCAGAGGCAGAAGCAACGCTGGATTTTAACGAAGCGTCCCTTAAGCTGACGCTGAAACCAGTTCGAGAAGAAAAAACAGAACCACCGACATTAAACCTCGACCACCTGCCTAAGGAAGAGCAACAAAAAATTCGACCAAGTGGTAAGTGAATTTGCTTCGTTATTTAGTGATATTCCCGGATTTACTCAAGTTACTAACCATAGTATCGACACCGGAGATTCACTGCCAGTTCGCCACAAGCCATACCGTATCGATACGATAAAAATAAAGAAAAAATTATAGAGTGGCACATTCGAGATATGT